TGGTTAAGCATCTGATTTTATTAAAACGACGACGTTTTATAAGTTTTTGCCTCTTTCAGGTCAGACAGATTTTCTGTTTCCTCATTTCGGTTTTATACTACACAAGTGTGAACTGAAAAAACACTAATCTTATCAATTTGTCCTAAACAACCCAAAATTGACTAGGTTCGGTTGGGTTGTGAATCTTGTGATACGTTTTTAAATCGGGTGGGTTGGGTTAGCTTATCTGATTGGGTTTAGCCGCATAGCCATAGCCCATAGCCCATAGCCTCTACAAGAAGACTGAGAAAGAAGTAGTCTGAACCCTCACTTCGCCCAACGGCCTAGCTTCCAATTCGGAAGAGTTCCTCGTCTTCGCCAATGGAAAATAGGAGCACCTTTCTGTTCGGCGGCACCAACTTTGATAATGATACAGTACATTTTATAGGAGCTGAGCTGACAAAATTGTTAGAGTTAATAGGGTTTGTTAAAAGAATTAAAGAAAGCTTGTTAGTTTGTTAAGCATATTGACAACAACATCGGAATAATTATTTTGTATTATCTTTTCATAAAATTTTCATATATTATTTATTATTAAATAAATTAACATATTTAATATCATATATTTTAAATAAATAAGAGAACCTTAACATGTAAAATTATATAAAAATATAATAAAAAAATTATCTTGAAATCAATCCCTTATTAGTATTAGAAGGACAATAGCCTGTAATTGTAATATCCATGAAATTAATCTATTAGTATTAGTTTCTAATTAGAAACAAGACTCACCGAGACTTTACACGAATCGTTACACGTTGGTTCGGTTGGGTTGCCTTTACACGAATCTTTTGTAGTTTCTCTAGTTTCTAATTTTGAGAGAATACTTGTTTGAATTGTATTAGTTAGAACGAGACTTTGTATTGTTTCTCGATAGATATGGATGTGAATCCTATTAATTTGTTAAATACTTTGGCTGAACTTGGATTTAAAGAGCCAACACCGATTCAAAGGCAGGCTATTCCTATTCTCCTATATGTATGGACTTCTTGTAGCTTTCATCTGCAGTGGTCAATTTCTTTTCTGATTTCTCTTTTAACAACGTCCAATAGAAACAAAAGAATTTGGCTGCTTTGGTTTAATATAATTGCTATGCTATTATCATGTTAGGGTCGAGAGTGCTTAGCTTGTGCTCCTACAGGATTTGGGAAAACATTGTCTTTCGTGTTTCCCATGCTTATGAAACTTAAAGTATCTTTTTCAAACTTTTAAGCATTTTTGCCTGATATTGTTCCTCAGTTCCTTGGATTTCTTTTATTCACTTTCTTCATATGTCAGCATGCGTCAACTGTTGGCATTAGAGCGATTATTTTGTGTCATACACCTGAGCTAGCCGCTCAGACAACCAGAGAGTCCAAGAAGCTTGCAAAAGGAAACAAATTTTGTATCAAGTTGATGACTAAAGAGCTTGCAAGAAATGCTGATTTCTCAAGGTGCCTTGTGATATACTAATATCTACACCGCTTCGTTTACATTTGGCTATCAAGAAAAGAAAAATCGATTTAAGAAGGTGTGTAATAATAATTGTCTAACTGATTATTAATTTGATTGCTCTAGGTGTCACAGAAACAGATAGGATTTGCACATTAATGTTTTAGAGCTTAAAGATCTTAACACAATGGCTCCGAATATTATAATGGGGAGTACAAGAAAATGCACACCTGCATAGAAGGTTCCCCTGATAGTGCATAGGGCATTGACCAAACAAATCATTACACTTCACATTAAAATTCTTAACAAAATGATTTACATCTTGGACTTGGATCTTTCTCTGGATTTTTATTGCTACTTGAGTCTTATGTGCTCCTTGTATTTCCACAAAAAATGTACATCTAGCTTGCGTTTCTGTTAAATTGATGGATTTTTTGTTGGTATATTTCTTTTTATCTGCCTGTATGAAGGATTTTCTACACTAGCGTCTATCCATTTAAATCTTTTTTGTCCGTTATTTACTACATAAATTTAAATGAAATAACATTGCAAATTCTTGGCAAATTCAGTCCGGAGTTCAACCAAGAGGTGACTTCTTGACTGCTAGCTATATCCCAATTTCAAATTTAAGAAGTAGAGGGTGATTCAATTAGTAAGTATATGTTTGAATTTCTGAAAGCAATTAGAAAAACTAAAAAAGTACATAAAAATAAGTAATTTGGCCTATGTCAAAGGAGAATTATTTATTTTTTCTAGTCCCCTACTTCCACAAAGTTTTCGTCCGGTGGCCAAATGCTGAGGTTGTTCCTTTGTTCTTTTTTATCTTTATCTCCTCGTCATATTCTTGTTTGTTTATTATTATTTTTTCCAATAAACTTTCCCTTGTGGCTTTGCTTTGCAGGTTGGGTGACTTAAAAAAAAAAAAACAACTATACTAGGCTTATTAATATCAGCATTCACTCCTCTTATGCAATTTCCTGTACTCCCTCCGATTTGACATTCAGTCATGTTATCCATATATTGTACAATGATAATGTCGTGCGCCATAATGCTAGTTGTTATTGTTAGCCTCAAATTATTGGTAAAATGGTTGAGAGAACTGTTGGTTTTTTTTTTGTTTTTTTTTTGCTAGTGCTTAAATTAGGAAAGAATAAGTGTGAACAGGGAGATACATAAGGATTTTGTGCTCTTTTTCAAATTTTCACAAATATCCCTCACTTTTTTTTTTTTTTGCCAATGCCCCTATTTGTACCCTCCATTTAATTTTTTTTATTGGTCAATACCTTCCAAAAATTTTCCTCTTTATTCAAACCCTCAACTTTTCAAAACCCATAAAAAACCCAATATTTTAACCTATCGTCACGGCACCGTTAAAAAATATATTACGTGGCACCAAAAATTGACGTGGCACTATGTAATGTTAGTAATCCAATGTGGATTCTTTTTTTTTATGATGTAATTTATTTTCTGCACATGTGAATGCCATGTGTACAGTAAGAGCAACAAAAAATTATAATATTACTAAACAGTAACATAAATGGCATTTCTTCATTTTTTTCTTTCCCCCCTTATCCTCGGCATCATCTTCACCATCCTCCACCTCAATGGGTTCCTCGCGAGGAATCCAGATTCTAGGTTCCTCGCGGGGAACCCAGTTTTTAGTCTCCTGCGTGGAACCCAAATCTGGGTTTTGGGCGAGGAACCCAGTTTCTGGGTTCCGACCATTTTTTTTTTCATTTTTTTATTTTGAATGTATTTATCTTAGTTTCCTATTTTATGCAAAGCAATTTGAAATAAGTTTTTTGTTGGAAAGGTGAGTTTTTTTTACTTGGAAATTGTTTATGAACATGTTGTCAATTTGAGTTTTTTTCGTTTTTTGTGGGAAATAAGTTGAAGATGCTTATCGTGTTTTTGTGTAGTATTCATTTACTTATAATTGTGTTGATGAAAATCTTAGTTTGGTAGGTATTCATGTGAAATTAGGTTCCACGAAAAACTCAAAACTTGTGTTTCGCGAGGAACCTAAGAGGATGAGGACGAGGATGGTGAAGATGATGCTGAGAAAGAAGAAAATGAAAAAATTAAAATTAATTATGATTTAATTATAATACATTATATAAAAAAAGTTTAACATTGGATTAATAAATGTGACATAAAGTCCTGGGTTCTTGGTTTCTTGAGGAACTCAGGAGGATGAAGAGGAAGATGGTAAAGATGATGCAGGAAAGAAGGAAAGAAGAAAACGAAGAAATTAAAATTAATTATGGTTTAATTATGTCATATCATAAAAAAAAAGTTCATATTGAATAAATAAAATGACATAATATTAATATTACTGTTTGATGCCACGTATTATAATTTTTAATGGTTATTAATAGTGATGTGATAGTGAGTTAAAATATTAAATTTTTTACAAGTTTTGAAAAGTTGAGGAGATGAATAGGAAGGAAAAATTTTGACAAGTGATAACCACAAAAAAAAAATTAAATAAAGGGTGTAAATAGGCTTTCGCTTTTTTTTTTTTTCCTTTTGTACAATTTCTCTCAGTGTTCTCTCTATACGTGTCAGTATCATGTACATCGGATTCGAGAATCCATTATGCTCCCTAATAAATGAAATTTATTGCTGTTCTCAAAAAGGAAAAAAAATGGTAAAATGAAATTTTGGGCAATGAACTTATTCAGCGGACTAGAAGTGTACTCCGTACGTAATTTCAGTAGTTGGATGTAGGAATACCAATGAAAGTTTTCTTGGTAAAGAATGAAAGTTCACAATTAGAAGACATGTTAAGACCCTCCAATACCACTCCTCAATATTGGATAACAAAAGAAATGTTTTTCTGAAATTCTGTCGACTAAAAACGACGAAGGTTTCTTTGAAAGCAGCCAAACTCCCAGGAGAAAAAGTTGACTAAGACAACTGCAACTGTGAATCTTACGTTCTTTTTTTTTTTTTTTCAATTAACAAATAATTAAGCATCAGAAAAAATACAGTAGTTAATTGAAAGGATGGAATATGGCCGCAGCGGTCACGGATCAGAATGCTGTGATCCCTTTTTCAAATCGGGTCGGTTCGGTTAGATGATCGAATTGGGTTTAGCACTTTAGCCACATTGCTCTAGCGTCTAACCTCTACGGGAGGACTGAGAAAGAACTAGTCTAAACCCTAACTCCGTCGCCGGCGAGACTTAGCTTCCAATTCGGAAGAGTTCCTCATGTTCGCCAATGGAAAACTGGGGCTCCTTTCTATTCGGCGGCACCAACTTCGATAGGAAGAAGTTCGCCGGCGTTTTTGGTTGGTTCAAGTTTCCATTTTTCTCTGTTTGGCTTCGCTAAAGCTCCGGATTTCTAATGCTTTTTCCCCGTTATCTATTTATTTCATATTTCAATATCTATCATCGTATGAATTCATTCTGTTGCTTGTATTTTCATGTAGGACAAGAAAGAAACCGATAGTAAAGTGGAGGACTTGCCGTTGTTCGACAATGGAAGCCTCGAACCAGAGGAACCAGCAGTTTCCATCAAGAAGAGAAAGCGAAAGTAAGTTGCTTCAGGTAATTTTTCATTTTTTGTTTTCATTTTATCTCATTTTTTGGGCAGAAGATGAAAGCATGTAAGCAAATTTTGTTTAAGTTTCTGGGAAAATAGAATCAGTGGAGGGATTCGGTGTGGTGAAAGAAGAAAATTAATGAAAAAGATGAAGATAAGCTTTCTAAAGAAAAGAAGTAACTTTACAGACAAATTGAGGTTGTTCTTCTACCTATTTCTGTTTCGCCTTTGAATCGTGGTTTTCGATAGTGTTAATCAATTGAACTGAAGTTTATGAACTTTTTGATGTTCCTTCTGAGTATGCATGCCTAGGTTTAAGCTATTTGGGTATGCTCGAGTCTTAAGAGCTGTTTTCTTCTAGCTGGTTGTATGATTGCTAGGGCCCAAGGGCATAATGATTTTTACCTAATGTTTAGTCATACTTGGCTTACTGTGTACTCATTAAACAATTAGGGGAAAGCGTGGAATGGCAATGCAGAAGAGGGTGAAAGCACTTCATCAACTGCAGCATTTATTGTCCAGATCTGAGTTCTGTCCTGTTGAAGCTGCTCTTAAAGCGGGAGCTATACCCTTACTTGTTCAGTGTCCTTCATTTGGCTCTCCAGATGAACAAGTTTGAAGAATTGAAGTTATTTTGGACTTCATTGCTTTACCATTAGGAATGTTTCTCTTCCCTCTATAGGCATAATCCTAAATTCTAGTTTATGGCACTTGTTTATCTAATCCTTGTAAAATTCACTTACATTGATCATGTATCTAGTAGATTTGTGTTCTTCAGACCATTTAGAGTTTTAAATGAAGTGATAATTCTAGGAATTTAAACAAATATATTTTGATGTCTTTGTTTTATCTGTCATACCACAGTTTCTTGAGGCAGCCTGGTGTCTTACAAATGTTGCAGTTGGAAAACCAGAAGAAACAAAAGCTCTGTTGCCTGCATTACCTTTGCTTATTGCTCACCTTGGAGGTCAGAGATGACTGATCTATTCTTTCTCATATTATGGAAGGAAATCTTCTCTGCTTTTTTCTTGTCTATTCAAAAACAGAATATTGCACCCTCTCTCAGACAGTATTTTCCAGAAATGAAGCTGGGCTCTTGTGAAATATCATTTTTTAGTTTTAACATCTTAAAATTTGATATTGATCCCTTCCTAAACTTAATGTTTTTTTGCAAACCCTGTTATATATAACCTCCATGATATTTTTAATATTCTGCCTCTATTAATTGAACAAAAATGCCTAATCTTTCAACTAGAAAAATATTAATGAGCTAAAAGTATGTCAAAATTACCTTATTTGTAGAAAAAAGTTCCTTCCCTGTTGCTGAACAGTGTGCGTGGGCATTGGGAAATGTAGCTGGTGAAGGAGAGGAGTTGAGGAATGTTTTGCTATCTCAAGGGGCCTTACCACCTCTTGCAAGAATGATGCTGCCAAACAAAGGTTCCACTGTGAGAACAACTGCTTGGGCATTGTCAAACCTTATCAAGGTTTTGGAACCTTTTCTAATCAATGGATTTCACTCTGTTATATGATATTAATGAACTTTGTTAAAGTACAATTTATGTAGTTGTAGTTCTTTGTATGTGTGAGCATATAATTTCAAGTTTTCCTTTTCAACATACCTCAGTGAGCTTGAATGTAGGGACCAGATCCTAAAGCTGCGACAGAACTCATCAGAGTTGAGGGAGCACTAGATTCAATTCTCCAGCACTTACGAAAATTGTAAGTGAAGATTTGAAACTAGCTAAAATGAATTCTGGGTATTACTGATTTTAAAGGCCTTTTGGACTGTGAATTCTGAATATTCTTATGCATGCCATGTGGAGGAAGGATATTGTTTGGAAAGGTTTCTATCATTGATTCTGCTCTTTCATCCAAACCCATGTCACTGCATCTGACTGATCCATTTCTAGGTGCATGAGTCAATGAAAGTAGGACTTGACATTAAAATGCATGGCTAAGAAAGCATATTTTTTAGTCATGTGGAAGATGATTATTGATCTAGAAGTTAGGTTTTTCAGATTGGGATTATTCTTTCTGCCAAGTGGTTTGCCT